AAAAAAAAAAAAAGAAAACATGAAGGTAAAGCTTCATGATTGTGGGTTGGGCAATGAGTTCTCAGATATGATAGAAAAGCATAAGCAACACAAGGAAAAATAAATAAATTTGTTTTCATCAAAATCAAAAAACCTTGCAGTATAGAGGTTTCTCAAAAGTTGAAAGCAGGACTACTATATGACCCTGCAATTCCACTTTTAGTATTTGTCCAAAACAACTGTAATCAGGTTCTCAAAGTTATATCTGCATTCCCATCTTCATTGCAGCACTGCTCAAAATAGCTAAGAGGTAGCAAAAACCTAAATGACCATCAACAGAATAAATCAAGAAAATGTGATATGTAATGGTCTAGTGTTCAGAAAAGCCACAGAGCTCAACAACAAAACAATAAAAAGAACAACCCAAACAACCCAATTAAACGTTTGGCAAAGGACTTAAATGGGCATTTCTTCAAAGAAGATATATATCTGGCTGGGAGTGGTGGTGCATGCCCATAATCCCAGCAGCTCAAGAATGCTGAGGCAGAAGGATCACAAGTTCAAAGCTGGCTTCARCAACTTAGTAAGGCACTAAGCAACTCAGTGAGATCCTGTCTCTAATAAAATATATTAAGAAAAGGGGTGGGGATGTGGTTCAGTGGTTAAATGCCTCTGGGTTCAATTTCCAGCAACCCCCCCCCCAAAAAAAGGTATATATCTGTATGACAAAGAATATATACATGTATATCTTCCAATAAAAACATAAAAAGATGCTCAAAATCAACAGTACTTGGAAAAATATAAAAACAAACCTACAAGGGGCACCACTTCATAACCACTTGGCTGGTTAAAATTTTGAAGAGAAAGAATCAAGAATGAATAAACGGGATGGATTCAAAATAAAAAGCAGCTTCTCACAAAGGAAGCAATCAATAACATGAAAAGAGAGCCTACAGGATGGGAGAAAACCTTTACCACACACACCTCAGAAACAGCACTAATCTCCAGGAAATATAAGGAAACTCTCAATGCTATATGAAATCACATATAAGAGGTTGTGAGGGGAAAGCGGGGGAAAAAACAAGGGAGAGAACTGAACAACAACAGATTAGGTAGAGAGGGAAGATGGGAGTGGAGGGGAGGGGAGGGGAGG